AGTAGAGAGTGTGTGTGTGTGTGTGTGTGTGTGTGTGTGTGTGTGTGTGCGCAATGAGTTAATGAGTTAAAATGCACTGAAAAGGGAATTTGCAGTTCTGTTGTTTAGGGCCAACAGATCAAAATGATTAACATGGCTGGAAAAGTCCCTCCAGCTTTCTATACAAGCTGAGAAGTCAAGTGTAGGACACTTAAAAGAAACTGAAAGACACATGCCCTGAATGCTGTTTATAATACCAGGATGTGACCGTCCTGCTCTATCTGACAACTGACCCAGGAGCTTTTAACAGTCAGTCCTTTTGCTTAAAGCTTTCAACAGAATGTCAATTTCAGAAATATACAAACTGTGCTAGGTGTCACTACATGCCTCAAAAAATCAGCATCTATTTACAGTGAATTTCAGTGAAAACCAAAGGGAGATAGATCAGTAGCTCCTTCACTCTTATTGCAAAAGCCTGTCCATCTTAAAATGTTAAGGGACTTTACTTTTCAACAGCCAGATTTCATGGCTGTGCGTTTCTTTCATCCTGCTGAGCATTACCAGCAGTATGCATCTGAGCCATAATTTATTTTGAAAGAACAGACATGTAAATTGCCATTAGCTCTCAGTGAATTATACTAAGACTTCCTAGACAATAAAAAGTAAAGTTACTTCTGATTCTAAATACTTCAGATAAGTACTATGAGGGTATAATGTACAAGGAGGGCTTTCACATGTATTTTCTGTGAGGATGAACTTATATAACTCACTGATGGTTCTGCTTTGCTCCTTTGTATCTGAGATACCAAATCATCATTAGTTTGTGATAATATTCATCATACCACACTCCCCGCCATTATGCACTTTCTGTCTCCCCATTTATCTTAGGCCTTGTCTACATAGGAAAGGTTTTTTCCATATAACTTAAGGTGTGAATTTAAACCAGTATAACTCCCATGTCGACACTCTTATTCCGGTAGGGGTGCCTCTTTTTTCTTTATTGTTGTTCTTGTTGTTCATCTTATATAACTTGGGAAGTGATTTAAGCTAAACCAAAGAAGCCACTTTTATACTAGAATTAGAGTGTGCACATGTGGGGGTTATACCATTATAATTATACTGGTATAGCTATGTAACTATAACTGCGAAAACTTTCCAGTGTAGATAAGTCCTTAGATTCCAACAATAATACTCTGAGCTGTTAGTTTATATATCTTTAAAGTGTGTGGACACAATGGATACAGTCTTATTTTACAGTGCACATAACAAATATACTATAGATTAAATTTAAAATTAAAGTGAGCTTTTAAGTGAGAATGAGCGATGTGACTAGAAGCAACCCAGAGTTTCATCCCAGAGAAGTGGCCATCCTTCCTGTACAGCTGGCACTCTGCTAGGGTGGCAGGCCAGGGTTTGAGTTGGGAATGACCCTCCAACAGTCAGGAGGTCCACTCTTAATCTGAGTCTGAGAGATTGTAAGGATGAGTTACTATGGGGAAAGCTGAAGCCTGTTCAAAGTTTATCTCTTCATTCTATCTTTTTATTTTAACATTCATCTCATACTTAGATTGTAAAGCACTTTAAGGCAGGTACCAACTCTTTAGTATGTCTTTGTACGGTGCCTGGCACAATGAGACCTTGATCCATGATTGGAGCCCATATGTCTTACCTCAATACAAATATACATATATATCTGCGTTAAGATAAAGAAACGCAAAGAAATGTGAGGGATATATGCAAAATTTCAAAGAGTGAATATTTTTACACATTTCCTGTGCAAAAACTACATTAAAAATGCAAATGCCCTTTGAAGAATTATTGTGCCAAATATAAAAACAAATACATGTATTAAAGTATAAATCAGAAGGTCTGCTTTATGTGCAAATCTCAATGCAATCTTAACCATGGAGCCACTGTCAATGCCTCCATACTGTTAGATTATCTGAAATAGTGGACTTCAGATATCTGAATTAATCCAAACATATTCCAAACATATTTGATAACCAACCATGTAGTCCCAAGAGTTGTATTTTTCTTAGATAGGTAAGGTTACAGAATTTTTTTGCTATTTTTTTCTTTATGCTTCTTATTTTAGCTATACCTTAGGGGTTTTATTTATTTAGACTTGTACAATAAAATATACCCATACTAAAGGCTCTAGGTTTCTTGACAATTAATTAGTCTCACAACATAATAACAACCACCCAGAAGCATTAAATAATCATATGTGGATAACACATAAATGAGGCCTGCTAGCAGCATTAAGCAATCAGTATAAACATTACACAGACAATTACAAAGTCACTCAGCCAAATAGTAAACCAAATCAATAGAAAAGCTCCCTTCCACCTCCACCCATCACTTCTGGGAGTATAAAAGCAACCTTCCCCAAAGCACCCTATCAAATAAGAAAATGGAATAGTAAAGGTTTGATCAGTTTTCAATACGTTTCTTAGTAAACAAGAAGGCACAGTAGTTTAACGATGTACATCTCAGCATTGTAACTTGCTATAAGGAGTCAGGTTTGTGATTATAGGGATGTGTGAGATCAAAGTCCAAGTCTTGTGATTATACAGCTAGTCTCTGTCTTTATATTACTGTATCACTTTATCATCTTTATTATATTATTGTTGTTGTTGTCATCATCGTCAAGAGCTTAGCTGCCTTTCTTTTTGCAATACCTGGACTGGACTACAATGCCCTTTGTTTTGTATGTTTTGAAACCCCTGAGTATCAAGGAGATGGCCTAGTGACTCAAAACTTTTTAAGCTATTTGAGGAAGGTATAAATAAAATGCTTTGTCTTGACAGAAATAGAACAAGTGACTCAGGTAGGGAAAGGTTTCAGAGTAGCAGCCGTGTTAGTCTGTATCCGCAAAAAGAAGAACAGGAGGACTTGTGGCACCTTAGAGACTAACAAATTTATTAGAGCATAAGCTTTCGTGGACTATAGCCCACTTCTTCGGAAAGGGTCTCTTTTCCCTGTAAAACCTCTGTCTTTCTCTCTTTATCTCAGGGACTCTTCAGGGAGAGTCTGGTGATGCTGCATTATTGATGTGATACAGGTCTCCAGTGGAAACAGATGTGATATGTTTGGTTTCCTCTGATATCCTGGGTCGAACACAAATCAAATTACTGAACGTCAGAAGATTCAGGTTCAATTAAACAGTTCAAAGCGCAGTTTGAAAAGCAGTCCTTGAATACTAAATCTTAGATTTAGGCCCTGTTTCAGAAGGAAAAGTTTGATGTGTACGAGAGAAACTGTGCCCCAAGCCATTTTGACAATACAGCTTTCAGCAGAGATTAAAATGCATATAGGAAGTATGCCCCTTCGGGATTTGTTTGTTCTCAAATCAGGCAATGATAGCTGGGGTCAAAAGCATTTAATAGCAAAAACCTGAAGGAATATATATTTAACCTCTCCCTACAATTCTTCCATTCTGTGTAGAGCCCTATATTTTTAAAATCCCAGTTTCAGATTCAAAACTTTCCCTTTATTGTCCCTTGGAGACTTGTAGTTAGTTGAACACAGGATATTCATGCCTCTCAATAGATCAAGCAGAAGTGGACGAGAAAGGACTGTTTGATCAAAGGCCAGAATCCTCTTTAGCTTGAATAGGAGTCCAAGGCCACAGTTACAAACAGGCAAGTGCAGTCTCTCCATTCCAGAAACCCTGAAATATAAAACAGCAGTGAAATCCCAATTAGACATCGAGACTTCCACATTCACTTGGCTGTTTTGTTTAACCTGCCTTTCTGGCTAGTGGTGGCCACCAAATAAAGACCAAGTTCTCCCCCGATTTACACCCAATGCAATCACCCATGGGTCTGTCACTTCAACATGGTAGGTGTAAGAGAAACACTTCAGTAAGACACTGTGAGCTGTATTCTGTGGCCTTCAGTCACACAGCTTTGTGTATCTTCAATTTAAGAAGTATCTTCCCAAAGACGCTTAAAGCTGAATTTTGTTTCCTGGTATCTATAAAGGCCAGATCTCATATCTTGGCCATCAGTTTGTCCGTTTCTTCCTTTTTTGCATTCTCCCTCTTTTCATCTGTTTCTTGGATCACTCCTCGGCTTAAAAAAAGAAATCCTCTTGATCTCCCTGCGTCTGGTGTTTCCCCTTTTCAAACAGAATCATTTCATCTTGAAAACACCATCTCTCTCCTGTTTTGCATACAGTAGGTGAGAGCACCGCAAGGGAAAACGTTACTTGGATATTATTTCTAGTGAACATAGACAAAAAACCTCCCACTTTCCCCCCTGCTTGCTGCTCAGGGAGGAAGCCCAAAGAATTGAGATCTATCAGGAGTAAAGCGACAAAATCAGCCAGGGTCTCACCCAGTCGGAGACTGAACAAGAGATAGCTGTTGACAAGAGATTGACAGATCAGTGGAGAGAAGAGAATACACCTCACACCAACTGTGCTTAGACACACTTCAGATTCTCTCCCCCCCCCAAAAAAAAATATTCACAAATAGAGGGAAGCACTTTTTTTAAAAAAATGATGCATTTGGTGCTTCCCTGATTTCTCTCAAAGAGCCAGTGAAGTATTTGATGAGAAGGAACCAATGTCTGACTGTCTTTAATCTCCCCTGCGACCACGTCGATCAGACAGGTAGTTCTGCAAAGAGGCAGAGAGAGATCCAGCTGGGACCCTCCACGGGGCTGGCTGCAGACAATGCCATGGCACCATCCGCTTGCTTCTGGGGGCCAGGGGAAGGGATCGGGGCTGGCAAGCTCACCTTGTTACTTGCAGGTGGGCATGGTGGAACAGGCGGCAGCCACGGGAGGCCGGGGGAGGGAGTAGAGAGGAGGAGGAGGGAAGAATGGATGGGGGGGGGGGGACGGTTCCTAAAGAGGCGAGTTAGGAGGGTAATGATTGCCATCCTGCAGCAATTTCCCTGTGTCATGGCTCCTGTTTCCTAGCAACAGCACCGAGTCCGGCCAGCACAGCAGCAGCTGCCGCCTGAGCACCATTCAAGAGCAGCAGAAGCAGAAAGCAGCAACTCCGCCAGGCTGGCAAATCAACTAGCAACAACAACCACCACAGACAGGAGGAGGAGGAGGAGGCTGCATCTGGCAGGGGGAAACAATAAAACAAGCAGGGAAGGATGAAGGATGGAGAAGGCACAACACTTCTAGGAAACTCCTTGGAATGGCTCTGTCCGGGGGCTCCGCGGGGGTTGACAAGCTCCGGTCGATCCCTCCCGCTTTCTCTGCTGGGATTATGAGCAAGGGCGAGATTACGGATCTGGAGGGGTTGTGTCTGCGCTGAGATGTCCACTTGGGCTGGAAAGTTTCTCCATGGTTTCTTTATGGTGCCTGAGCTCCTCGCTGCCAGCTTTGATTCCCCCCCAGTCTTCCTGGGTAAGTGAGGTTAGACTTGCTGCCATTTTGAGCAATAATTTCGCCCACGATCCCGAAAGGTTTTTTCACCCTACTCTGGTCTGGGGGAGGGGGGTGTAGAGTGGGGCGGAGGGAGTCGATTTTCACGTGTGTTTTCTCTGCCTTGGAGAAAACATTGAATGGCCCCATTACTTTCCTGGAGGCGACAAAATTAGTCCATCGCGTTGATGTGGTTATAAAACGGGGGCCGGGGTGGGAAATTTACAACGGGCTGTTGGCTGGTTGCCAAATCAATTCACGTCTTTGGTCCCGGTTTAGGTGCCCAGCCGGTTTAGAGGCCCTTGCTGGATATTGCACACGCTCTGAGCCTTCGTTAGTAGAAACAACCAAAAGTTCAAAGACCTGGCAGACCACCTGGCGAGCGGTACTCAATCAATAGCTACAGACCTACCTCATTAACAGGCAGCTTCATTGTTAGACATTCTGCCAGCCAGCCATGAATATACTGGAAACTGCACCGAAACTACACCCCATGTAAACTGGCAACTTTGCTAACTCCGTTATGTATAAAGAAATACTGCCAAGCATGCCAGCCACAACATTTTAGTCCCTAGTAAACGTTGCGAAATCTATTGCAGCATGCTAGAAAGTGTCCGAAGTGATGTCGAGCAAATGATCAATCGCTGCAAATTAACATCCTTCCAAATAATTCATTTCCCCCCGAACTGAGAGTATTCTTCCATTTTCTACACATACAAATAGCTGAAGCAACACAAAATCCTGTATTGGTCAATAACAGATAGGCGAGTATCTTAGTCTGTTATTAGTGTCCAGGAAACAAAGTGTTAATCCACCCCCCACCGTGTACGTTTTAAAACCTGTGACTGAGTGAGATTAACAATTCTATTCGGTCTTTGCAGAGCATCCTTAAAATAGTCATTGAGATCCGGGTTAAAACATGACATATCCTCTGGGGATTATTTAAATAGTGCTCACTATGACATAAGTATCAGTTTGTTAATGATTACAGACCACGTCCAGTTTATATGGAATGTGATTGTATACCGTGTCTTTCGTCTGTTTGACTTTCGCTGTTTTCTAATAATACAATAATTAATAATAGTTGGTGGTTTAAAAAAACCCACCCTCCCACGCATCCACCCTTGTTTCTGCGTATTGAAAACGAAGTGTCAAGGCAATATTGATTGCAAACGTTGTTCAGGTCTGATTGCCATCTGTTTTTCCATCTTAACTGAGACAGCATCTTGTCTAGTGGTGTAGTGGGGAGTATCAGATCACAAACTAAGCCACCACTTAAAAAGAAATCATGCTCGGATAATTACACTTGTGTACCAAACCATTCTAAAAAAAGCAAATACATGCTCTGACAATAGGAAAGAGGAGGCAAGACTCCATTCATTGTTAAATTACTCTCAGATATATTGTAGATTCTCTCAAAACAGTGCCCACAGCGATAACACCATTATTTTATGGGAAAATACATTCCGAACAAATGGAACGTAAAACTGTCGAATCTGGGGCTATTTTGGGAATAGGATAGAAACGAAATTTAGAAAAAGCTGGGTGGGGGAAGGGATCACTTTAGATGCTGTTAACCAGCTTTCAAGGCAAGGAATGTAACTTTATGAAGCATGTTGTATTGATTGCTGTCATATTTCCTTCCTGGACATTATTTTAGACTCTTCCCAAAATGAGAGAAAAGCCCTCCTTCAGCATATCAAAGCTTCCCTGAACGGTTTGCAATATCGTGTGAATTGTTCATACTTAGTTGTCTCCCAGCTATTTGAATACTCAGATGATGAATCCTGACGATACCGTAAATAAAGTAACGAATGTTATTTCATATGCCAGTTTCCCGACGCATTATCTTTTTTCATGGTGATTCACTCTTTAATAAGATTTGACATACTATCTTTATATACCAGCTACATTTTAACATGGAGGGGGGAGGGGCAATCATTGCTGTTACATAACCAGTTACTTTGAACATCATACATGTTTCCAAATCAGGCAGCTGTCCAGATGATGTACCCATACCGTAAGCAGAAGAGGATGGGTTTCTAGAGCACTGCAGCTAAAATACGAAGGAAATGATCTGGAAGAAGCTTCCAAAAGGTACTATTATCTGGGTATTCAAATGCTTCCCTTCTGTATTTCCAGTAATTAATTTCCCTTTCACTGACACAAAAAGTACATAATCGGTTAAACTCCCTCAGCTACGTTTAAGCAGTGTAATAAAATCAATGACATCCATAAAACAATTCTTATTGCCCGTCTGGTTTTATTTCCAAAATATCCAGATCACTAAAAGGCACTGGCTTCTGCGTGATACTTCGGCTAACACCAACCCCCTACACTGTGCTGTGTAACCCTGTGACCCTATTAGAGGAACAGGGCCCAGGAAAGATCTCAGCAGCTTCTTTAACGACAGGAGCAGGCTGCCCTGCAGCCTCATTCTCTACCCAGCACGGATGATCTTCTGTTTGTTTGCACTGGTGACACGACTCTTTCCTTAACTCATTTGGAGTCTGTAGAAATCAATTAGCTGTTTGCAAAGAGTGAACTGAGCAACGTCATGGGAGGGATACATGGCTGCTTCTCTTCCCAGGTTACCTAACGGTGCTATCTTGGCTGTCTGGACGCCTAAGAGGGCCCAGCTTGTTAGTGATTGAGACCCTGCTTCTCAGGATTTTAACTAAAAAGGGATTTCCCTGACTGTGTTAAAGCACGGGCATGTTGTGAGGTATCTGTCGAGGAGCTGCTCCTCCAGCTCTGTCCCCGGCCCTCACCCTCTTCTCTCCCTTTTGCTGCAGGAGCTGGAGCCGCTCTAGGGAGCAGTGCCCTGGGTAGCCAGCCATGATCGCCACTGGAGGCCTCCTGAGGATCTCGGCCAGGAAACAGGACCCCCTGCGACCCCAAAGCCAGCCCCCCAAACGCAAACGCAAAGCCAGAAAGAAGCGCAAGAACGACGTGGTGGTGGTGAAGGGCAAGCTGAAGCTGTGCTCCGTCTCGGGGCTCATCGCCCTCTGCGGCATCCTGGTGCTGCTGGTGGGCATCGCCTTGGCCGTGGTGGGCTATTGGCCCAAACCCAGCCCCGTCTACCGGGAAGGCAGCTTCGGGGGGAGCAAACACCTGCCCGCGCAGGGCGGCGCCACCAAAAACCGCTCCAGCCGGGGCCAGCCGGGGGCGCAAGGGGGATCCCACCCGGACACCCCTAGAGCCAACTCCTCCTCCTCCAGCAGCACCAGCCGGGGGTCCCCCCGCGCCGCGCCGGCCCCTTCCTCGGTGGGTTTCCTCTTCCAGCTCTTCTCGGGCTACCTGCACTCGGACAAGCTCAAGGTGCTGGGCCCCCTCATCATGGGCATCGGCATCTTCCTCTTCATCTGCGCCAACGCGGTGCTGCACGAGAACCGCGACCGCAAGACCAAGATCATCAACCTGCGGGACCTCTACTCCACCGTCATCGACGCGCACAGCCTGCGGGCCAAGGAGGGCGGGGGCCCGGCCGCCGCCCCGCTCAATGGCTTCGTCAGTTACGTGCAGCAGGCCCGGGGGCTGGGCGGCGGCGGCAGCGGGGGGGAAGCCTTGGGCGCCGCGGCCAGGCTGGCCCAGAGCTCCTGGCCCCCGGCCCTGGGCGCCCCCGCGCCCCGCTGTTCCTCCTTCTCCGCCTCCCCGCCTAGCCTGGCCGAGGCCGTCTACAGCATCTACCGGGAGCGAGCCGCCCTGGCCGGCCGCCCGCTGGGCACCGCCACCCCTCCCTGCAGCCCCGCGCCCGGCTGGGGCCGGCGCAGCACCGCCAGCTCCCTGGTGGGCTCCTCGCTCAGCGCCTTCACCCTGCTGCCCCTGGGCCAGGCCGAGGGCACGGGCGAGGAGAGCTGCGGCTGGCGGCGGCCGCCGGGCGAGCCCGGGGCCAGGGGAAGCCCGCGGGGCGAGTTCGAGCTGAGCCTGAGCGAGCTCGGCAGCGGCAGCCCCCTAGGGCCAGGGGAGGGGCGCAGGCACACGCGGGTACTGAGGCGCCAGAGCACAAGCTGCCTGCCCGACTCCAGGCGGCCCCTCTCCCTTGGCTCCCCTCAGACTCGGGCTAGCAGCAAGGAGCTGGACTCCACCAGCCTTTTAGCCAAGGCTGCTTCTTCCACCTACTCCAGATCTCTGGATCTGGGCGGCTCGCCTCCCTTCACTCCGCCTGGGGTCAGGAGAGGTTCCCAGTCTGACCCATCCAGCAGCAATAAGGGCTACACGCACCTGGAGGAGGCAGGCACCTCCTTGGAGTCTATTGCCAACACCCCCGCCAGTAAAACCCAGGACTGTGAGGAGGACCCAAAAGGGGAGATCGGCCCCCTAGAGGGAGCCAGTAAAGAACAAACAGTGCAGCAACCTCAGCAAATTCAGAGACAATATACAAATAAAGAGAAGCTCTTCATGATTTCCAGGTCGCACGCCACGGCAGGGCTGGAGGATGGGGAACTGGAAAGCACGGGCGTTTGAACAAACAGAAAGCATCAGGACAACTTGCAAGCCCTCTGCCTCCTTGTGGACGGAACCCGGTCAATATCCAAAGAGCTGCAGTATGTTATCCTTGAATTGCATTCAATAAATTCCCGTAGATGATACCAGGAAACAAAAAATCTTTCTGTCCGATTGTGATTGTATGTTCCATGCAAACCAAATTGTATTACACATCAATAGTCCAGCAAGTTCTTCGAAGCAAATGAATACAATTTTGGACAACATAACTGTGCACTTTATAGTTTTTATTTCTAAGTGCCCCCTCTCCCCCTTCCTTGGGTACTCTGATGCTTGTTTGTCACTAACTGCTTCGAAACCACCACCTCCTGTTCTAGCTCCAGAGCAAGGTGGTTTTCCTTCAGCAAAGCTGAGCCCTCCCCCCTTTGTTTTGGTTAAATCACTCTAAAAGTTTGCAGGGCCTTATGGATGAAGTATCTTCACAAAGAACACTCTTACAGGCATTTGTTTAAATTCTGGAAAGATGACAAGGGAGGAGAGAGTGGAGCTGGACAGAGCTCTCATAATCTAATTGGAACTGTTACAGTCTTAAATTAGAAACCTAATAAGACATGATACTTTTATTAAGTATTATCACACATGTACCAATAGCATTAATAAAAAATTTTAAATAAAAATGTTTAATCATATTAAAACAGTTCTCCCCCCTACAGCGCTTACAGATCAAAGACGACTTTTGTATCAAATTACTAAGTATTAGAGACAAGGTAGAAAGGACGAAGGTTTGTTTATGTTGCTTTTGACATGGTAATAGTAATTTAGTAATATTTTCAAAACAAAGATATTTGGGTTCAATCGCTGAGCACACTGCACTTTAGTACAAGCAGCAGATTCTGCCTTTATTTCTAACCCTTGTTTAACTGGAATTTTAGATGGTAAGGAATCAGAGATTTCAAGATTCTAAAGAGAAAAATTGATTAAGGTTTTACCTTCCATTAAAATTAGATTTTTCATGACTAATACATTAATCTCAGAAACAGTGGCCCATACTTCATAGATCTTTGACTTCCTCAAGAACAGTCACTCTAAGATTAAGTTTTTCTACAATTAAGGCTCCAATCTTGCAAACACTTATGCACATGCTTACCTTTAAGAATGCGAATAGTCCTATTATATTCCGAGGGTGAAATTCTGTCCCCATTGAATTATATGGGAGTTTTGCCATTGACTTCAATGGAGGCAGGATTTCACATTGAGTGAGTTAAATAGCAGGTTTCCTGATGGTTGGACTATATATATAATATATGAATCAAACAGCTATTTGGTAACTGGGAATTATTTAACTTTAATAATTATAATAAGACTGGCATTTGCTTAATTTACTAGAAAAATCTCTTTCAACTCCTAATTTCAGATACCAACAAAATTTTCTATTTCAAATATATATTTAATATGCATATGATGTTTCATTATGTTAACTACAGAGTTATTGAAGTTAAACAATATGATATGTAAGTAGTGCATTGGTTTTCTCTCTCAATTAAGGTTTCCATAATAGATTAGTATTTAGTACATATCTAATAATTAAATATAGGTACAATATAATAAATATACTGATCAGTATGTTTAACTGTGAAGAGTGAAAAGCAACAATAATTATTAAATATAAGAATGAATCATTTTAAAAATATCAGATAAGAGACTGCCATCTTGAGGCTCTACAATTTTCCAATGAGGAAATGAAGTTCCCTTTGGCAACAGAAAGGCACAAGCGTCACAGCCTCATGTACTGTCAATGGCAACCGAGTAAAGTAACCATATAAACTTTGTTTAAGCATTGTTCTTGTTAAACTGCTATCTAATGTTGTTTAGCCAGCCAGTGTGGAAGTGACCAAAATATGTTTTAAAACTGTGTGCGTAGGCTGGAACACTAATTTGATTTACAAAAAGATAAACAAACATGACTAGGCCCTGCATAAAGTGGGCAGCTTAACGGTGTTAGAAGGCAATTTAATCAGAATTGATTTCAACATGATTACTTCTGGCTCAAAATTAGGCCTAACAGTTAGAAGGAAACTGCTGTTCTGTGCTTTTCCCATGATTTCCAGCAGACATCTATTGAAATATCAGGAAAGGGTCATCAGGCACTGAGACAAGAATGCTAGTTATACACAGTTATGGAGATTTGCCTTGATCCAGTCTGGGAAGGTGCCTGTTCAAATCCACATGGGTGCAGAGCAGGAGTCTACCCACCAAATCTCATTGCAGGGTTGGCACCATAGTGGAAAAATGACAGATTTTTTTTTAAATAAACCTGAAAAAATCATATAATATATATACTGTTTCTATTCTCATTCAGTAAAAGTTTATCCAGCCATCTAAGCTATAACAATCACTTTATTTAAAGATAACACAAGATGCGACCCAAACCTTTTATTTGATTAGAAGGAAAGTACTTTTAAATTGCTGGGCTAGAGTTTGGGGGATTTTTTCTTCTTGTAGGACAGTGAGACAGTATTTTATTTCATTGAGATTATTATTAAATTTGTTATTTGTATTTCAGAATCTGTTACATGTGTCAAAATACAATCAGGAAGCCTTTTTAAATAGCACAACTCAATTTCAATGATCACCCTTTTCAATAAGTACTGTTTTAGACTTCTCCTAGGTTGCTGAACATATTGAATAACAGAATGTTTGTATACAGAACTGAGCTTGACCAATGAAATTCCACTTCAGTGGCTAGTAGAGCTGAGTGAATAATTTGTAGCAATTAATTTAATAAACAGATGAAGCCCTTTTTCCAATTTGCAAATTGTCCATGAATCCCTATGATTTTTGCAAATTTATTTGCTAATTACAGTTTTTCATGGAACAATTTATGTAAAGACTTTGCGTTCTGTAGAGTTTGTTCAAAACTCAAGCTGAGTGAGTTACTTTTGTATGGAAATGTAGGTCAAAGGTTAGTGTTTCTGTTTTCTGGTTGGATAAGCTTAACTCCTAGCAGCAGCAGATTTCTTGTGTGAACATTCATACTGTTAATATTAAAGTATCCCTAATGCTGTCAAATTGAGATTGGTTGATAGAGAAGGATAACCTAATCCATTTTAATGGCATCAGACCTGGTGACATAACTCTTTGAGTACCACCTCTTTTGGACATTCATCTCTCCCTGTTCCTGCCCTATCTGGCACGCTGCTTTTCCCCTTGCCTCCTGGACCTGCCCCTACCCCTACCACTTCTGTGTATCAATCAACCTTCACTTGCCCATCTTTTCCCCCTCAGTTTCTCTCCTATCTCGTCCCTTTCCCATCCCTATCCTCTCCCCTCCCCTCCTGGGCATTGAGGTCCTCCTTCCAACCTCTTCCCCATAACCTGTCCCCAACTGGTTGTTCCACATGCCTTAATGGAGGCTTAGGATCTGTACCCATAACACTCTCTGTATCTCTTGCAAATACACTTTGAATATAACAAACATAAATTATCAGGTGTGTGCACTAAGCTAACATATTAAAAGCAAAAGACCTGCAGAGACCAACCATTCCACCAAGGTCCTAAGAAAAATTCCTTGAGAAAAAGCTGGGTTTCTGTCTGAATTCCTCAGGGCAGTTGTATGACTGGCCATAAAGTTGCCACTATCTTTTTGTAACACAGATACTTGTTTTAAACTTGTCTATAAGACAGAGGGGGGAAATGTTTGGGTTTTGAAATGTAAGCAAAGCTACATAGTGCTTGCAGGCCTACCTCTTTTCATGTGAAGTTCAGACAGCCTTAATACAAGTCATTTGGGGAAGAAGTTGTGTGCAGGAGGATAGATGACTTTAGGGAGAATTTGCACGTTAATACAAAGGGACATCTTAAATACTTTAACAATTTTGAAGTCCTCCATATAGCTCAGTATTTCAGAATACCTCTAATATAAACTAGCTTAAAATAAATCTAGTTGAGTGATTATATATATCATGACAATACATTTTGATCAATTTTCTTCTAGTTTTCCATCAGATCCATATGTCGTCTGATGTTTGGGTAAAATTGTTAATACATCATCTGTTCTGTTGCGAGAGATATAATGCAGGCTTTGTTAAGCTATTCTGCTGAAACATTTTGGTTAGGTAATGTTTGTGTGGTTTTTTTTTTTAAACAATCCTGTCCACAAACGGTAACCCCAAACAGCGAGTCATAGCTTGTGTACAAACATCTTTGCAGCTGGATGTTAATATAAACTCTCCCTATTTAGTGTCATGCACTGCTTGTCACAGCAAATGTTTTAAAAACAGGTATGTTTTCAAGGCCAACATAGAAGCAGCAGCAATATGGATTAAACTCAAAACAATGCACTTTAGCCTCAGCCACAAGAATATTTACTTAAAAAAAAATGTATTAACAGGGCATAGTTTGTATGTTCCATAATGATGATCTACATCAGGGGTCAGCAACCTTTCAGAAGTGGTGTGCCGAGTCTTCATTTATTCACTCTAATTTAAGGTTTCGCGTGCCAGTAATATATTTTAATGTTTTTAGAAGGTCTCTTTCTATAAGTCTATAATATATAACTAAACTATTGTTCTATGTAAAGTAAATAAGGTTTTTAAAATGTTTAAGAAGCTTCATTTAAAATTAAATTAAAATGCAGAACCCCCTGGACCGGTGGCCAGGACCCGGGCAATGTGAGTGCCACTGAAAAATCATAGGTTGCCTACCCCTGATCTACATGGTTTGTTAGGACCATGCATCTTAAGGTATGAAGGAGAACTTTTGATAGGAATATCTATTATTAATTTTAACATTTTTTTGTTAAACAAGTATATAAAAACAGAGGATTTTGTTCATAGTGGGGAAATAAATACAAATGAATGTTCTTGGTCAGATTACTCATATCTTAAATAGATCTCCAATTAACACCTTTCATTATTAACTTGACTTAAGCAGTTATTTATTTTAATTTCAAAATGCAAAGCAAAAGGAAACCTAGCTCAGGCTTTAGGCATAACAAAATACAAAACAAAAACAAAAATCAGACCCTGTTATCAGGGCTGGGTCCAGGATTTTTGCTGCCTCAAGCAAAAAAAAAAGGGGGGGGGGACCAGAGTGCCACCGCTGAAGCAAAAAAAAAGGGGGGGTGGCGGAGTGCCGCTGCTGAAGAAAAAAAACCTGGAGTGCTGCCCCTTGAAAAGTGCCGCCCCAAGCACATGCTTGGAACGCTGGTGCCTAGAGCCGGCCCTGCCTGTTATGCACCCACCCGCACTGAAAACACATAAAAAGTTCT